AAATAGCCAGCACGGCACCTCTTCAACACGAGTGTGCTGTGCTACAAAGCCATGGACACACTGTGGCGAGTGTGTTATGAGGCTGCTTACGCACGCGCATGGCTCCAGCAGTGCCTGGGTTCAAACCCCAACAGCAGCAATTGCATCCCGGATCTTGATAATATAAATCCGAGAGCGGGGCGCCCGGGGCGGGGCAGCGTGGGCGCGTAGCGCGCGCGCGCATGCGGCGGCCTTGGCCTTGGCGCTTCCGCGCACGCGTCGTGATTCAGCTTCTGATTCAGCTTCCTTTTTCGCCACGTGGAACTCTCCTGCTGCAGCACCTTTTCCCGTCGTTTTTCCCGCTTTTTTGCCCGAAAACGCCCTAAAAAACAGTCGAAAACCTGAGTGTCGGGTTTTGCAGTATTTCGCTGCTGTGCGGTGTGGTGGGTGGGGGCGGGGACCGTTCCCCCTCTGATACCAATGTAGCGGACCCACCAGGTGTGGTGCTCCGCTAGTGACAGAGATGGAGATGGAGGAAGAAGGGGGAGCAAGATGGCACAATGCAACTCCCCACGCAAGACTCCAACGCACGTACTCCAAAATGTGCAAGTAAAGAATGAGAATGAAAACAGACAATGGCTGGGGTATACCCCAGCGGACTGACGGGACTGGACTGGACTGGCTGGTACCGACAGAGGTACCGGCCTGGACTGGCCTACCCCAAATATAACACAGGCCTGTGAGAACAGGCCAAGGGGCTGGTCTCACAGGCCATCCCGAGGTCCGCTACATGCATCCACATCCATTCGTCCGCATTTCGCCACGTGGCCTACTCCAAGCAAGTTGCATTTTCCGCCATTTGTCAGATCGATCCGTCGCATTCCTCCACGTGGCATGTTTCCGGACTGCCAATGCTATTCCCACCTCTGTTCGCCACGTCGCCATTCATGTGATACACCACTAAAGTTGCATTTTCCGCCATTTGTAGGATCGATCCGTCGCATTCCTCTACGTGGCACGTTTCCGGAGTGTACATAACCGCAAACTCTCTTCCTTGGCTTTGGCGTTCTTCACAAGTTGTATACAGTGGAGGCCATCGCCGGCGGCTCATCGAGCAAGCTACGTCTGCTGACAGCGTCCGTAAAAGGTATGGATCACTGTAGACTACCTGTGCATAGACGATCACCATCTCCTTCGCCTGCTCCCATGGACACGGGCTTCGTGGAAGTAACGCCATCCACTGCAGGCATTGGCAGTCCGGGTTTCCAAGGTTTCTCAGCAGGTGCAGGACCTGCGGGTGTGGCACGCGTTGCCACGTCACTGCCGATAGGCTTGCCACCATTGCCGAATTTGAAGCATTTGCACCCTCCGGTGTACAGTCCCGGGAAAGAGCCACGAAGTATAACCTCTCTCCTTGCCGAAGGTGACATTTTTGGAGCACCGTGATATGGAGGAGCAGGGAGATTGGATGCAGACGTTCAAACAGCGTATCCAAACTGGGGGGTGGGACGTGACTGTGGGTTTCCACGTGACGGGCTTAGGATGGGGGCGAACGGGGAACGGCCACAAAGCGGTCCTCCACTGGTGGGTGCGCAGTCCATGTCGGGAGGGGTGGGTGGGGGTTCACCAAACACGCACACACCGATGGAGGGTCGGACTTCGCCGTCTTTTGCACACTCCCCACCGACCACCAATCACATTCGCCCACAAAACTTGTACTCCTCAGACCCCGGTGTCAACCGTGGTGCCGCTTCTCTGCTTGGCCCGCATGCCAACGTCTACAACTCCGATGTCCCCATGCCCAACCATTCTCATGATTCGAGTGTAGAGGAGCCCGTCATCGATGGGGCGTTTGGTGCCGCTTTCACCGAACCTGCGATGGATATCGCTGGGACACAAAGTGGAACACCTGCGAGTGTCGAGGTCGCAGACGACGAAGGCGGTGCGCACTGCGGCGATGCAACATCGCCAGCGGGAAGTGGAAAAAGGGCCGTTTGGGAGGAGGGGGGGGGTCACGGGGGACAGAGCAAGGCGAAGGCGAAAGAGCGAAAGCCGGAGTGGACACACAAGGAGAGCATGGCGCTTGTGAGGCTGCGCTTCGAAGAGGACTGCGCACAGCAAAGCAGGTGAGGGAGACAGAAGATCAGGAGTAGACGGGAGAAGTACGACTAGATAATAGGGAAAATGGTTGAGCAAGGCTTTTCAAAACGTGACATGGAGGACTGCGAGGCAAAGTACAACGCCCTCCTTGACAAAGCAAAAAAGATCCGGGATTACAGCGGCGAATCAGGGAAGCCGAGCTATTGGGACATGTCGCGTTCAGAGAAAAAGGAAAATGGCCTTCCGTTGACATACGAAAAACACATGTTTGAAGCTCTGCAATGGAAGCTTGGGAAGGCGGACGGTTCGTGCCAGGACCTGATGCACAGTGTCAATCTGCAGAGAGGGCAGACAAGCACGGTCACAGATGATGAAGACACTGGCGGCACTAGTGAGAACGGAGACGAAAAGCGGATACTGAGAGCGCTGAGGGTTACAAGTCTCGACGGACCGCGGGTGTGAGCGGCAACAAAAGGCGTTCCGCGGCAGAGAGTTCGAGTGACGCTTCAAGGGGAGGTTCGTTCGCACACATTGCACATGCTCTTGTCGGCGCGAACGACCGTCATGCGGAGAGGATCGTGGGGAGTTTTGCACAGGCCATGGACGGAATGAACAAGACCATGGCCGAGGGTAACCAAACACTGTTGCAATGCTTCGCTATGCTTTCAAATGCGATGGTGGGACAACCGCCATTTGTTCCTCCAGGGGGCGGGACACGTTGCGAACGTGGCAGTCGCCAGGAAGATGGCCGTTGATCACATGCTTGGAGCACACGAAGTGATCGGCTGCATGTCCGAGATGTGCACTTCTTTTGAATTTTTTTTTTTTTCCATTTTTTTTTTTTTGGTCAGCACTCCGTACGGGTGCAGGACAGCGGCGGTTCAATCTGACCAAAGTCCGTATGCGTGTGCGATTCCTGATGGCTTTCTTGCAGGATCCGTGAAAGAGAGAGCGCACGACACTTGGCAAAATGTCGTCTTCTCCGATGCGCGGTGTTGGCAAGGTTGTGGACATGGCCGGAGATTTCGCGCTGACCCACAAGCAGCTTATCGAGCAAGTGCATGAGCTGGCCCGTAAGCGCGGGGTGCTGTTCACTCACGTATCGGCTATGGTGGAGGAGCTCCAGCGTCTGCAGGGTGAGCTGGAGAAGGCGAACATGAGAGAGGGGCTTGCTATGTCGAGAGCCGAAGCTGCGGAGCGACAAGTTGGTTCTCTGAGGGAGGAAGTGGCCCGCCTGCAACACCAGTTGTCGCTTTACGAAGGGGCCTCTGACCATACCCCTGCAGAGCCCGATAGTTTTGTCACAAGACTCACAACTTTGCAGAGCCCTGGCCGCATGCAAGGTGGAACCGTCGCCAATGTGATAGTGTTGGTGGGTCACATGCGACGTGACTCTAGTGTGCGCACACCTCCGCATCGGCCGGTGCCCGCCGAGGCGAGATCGCCTTCATCGCTGCCCGTAGTGTCGCCGGACATGAACCGTCGTGACGTTACGGCGGTCGCTGAACAATTGAGGAGAAGTATGTGTATGGAGGGCGATTCCCTGAGTGGGTATAGGTAGTTGTGTGTTGCAGGTTAGCATTTCAAAGCTCCACACCGCCGGTTGCAGGCTGTTTTGGTTGTTTTTTTTTTTTACACGGCAAAAATGTGTCGGTTCCTTTCTTGACCCCGGCTATGGCTGAACAGGTCCTATTTTTGGTTTCCGTAGTCGGGTGAGCGGGTGGGATGATCTCACCTGCAGTTGTGTGCGTCATCGGCATAGTCTTTATTTACAGGTCTGACGGAGGCTTCCCTGTGTTTTTTTGGCCAAGAACAGAATGCAAGACTATTTTTTTTTCAGTGTGGACCAACGCCATCTTCCATGTTTTGCAATGGGTTCTTCGGTGGCCATGTGCGAGGGCATGTGAAGTGTTCGTATGTGTTTGGATAAACTTTTGTAAATGACGAATCCCGAAGATTTATTTATGGTTCTGTGCCCATCAGCATGTTTGATATTCCTAGGAACGTGACCTTTCTTTCGAATGTATCATCTTTTTTGGTAAACAATGCCATTTTTGGCCATCAGCTTGTTTGAAAATATCAGCTTTCTTTCGAATGTTTCACCTTTCCCTGCAGCATACTGCAGTTGAGTGAAGCGACATGCGAGCATTGATTGATCTTGAACATGGGGCAGCATAACATTTGTAGCCGTCACGACCTTTAAAAAAAATAAAGATTACAGAAGGGAAAAAAAAAAAAAAAAAAAAAAAA